TGCTAAATCGTTGCGCATAGTTTGAATGAAAAATTGCCCCTATTCATGAAGGTAAAGGGTTCACATCAAAGGATACTCAATTCTTTTATTTCCCAGAACTAGTATAGCCACTGGCAGTAAGCTATATTCACGATCCATTTCTTTCAGAAATTTATTTTTTCTGAAACTATACCTAGCCTGCTCAACGCCCTTGGCGTTCGCCCACGTTATAGAAATCAGCAGAGTGCAGTTTTCTGAATTGTCTTAAGCGCACCCATTACTCATGTGTTTTATATATAACCTACAGATTGTAATGCTCGAGGTATATGAAAAAATAATCCTACACCGAAGTAGCTTGGCCCAAGAAATAAAATATATGTCAACATTGTTGTATAGCTTACCAAATAAATATGGAAGAGTAAAAATGGGGATGTGACCGCAAACATTTTTTTAGACGTTGCATCAAGCAATTGTTCTGAATGTCAGTTCAAAATAGTGGTTTTGAGATCCATAGATTTGAAGCACATAGTTCTCTTTTTTAGGCTACCTCCCGTAGGCCTTTATGTGTTGATAAGGTCTTAACTCTCGCTACTTCATGAATCAACACTGGTCCCTAAATCTTTCTGATGTAGTCTACTCATATATTTTTGTGATAAGAGCTAGAGCTCGCTGTAATTCGCGGTATTTTTTGATGGAATTTTATATATACACAAAAAACAAAAACAAAACCTGACCATCATTTAACACCCTACACAACTACAAAAACGACTTTTCGAAATAAAGCTTTATATGGGTAGTGTTTGAAAAAGTGGGCCAGTCGGGACCATTTGCAACAATGTTCGTTTTTGGGCCAAACTATGCCTGTATCTGTGTACCATGACAATATTTGAGGGATTACGATGTAGATCGTCAGGAAGTAAGAAAACAAGACATACGGACGGATAGACGGATAGTTCCAATCTGTTGATCGCTATAATAAAAAGTGGTCCTGAGCGTTACATACATCCGTACAATTTGTATCACAAATGGTGTAGGGGTATATAAAGAATTGGATCCGAATTGAAAAAGCCTTTGCTTTGCAGTATTTGATGTAGGCTACGTATAATGTTTGGGCACTGCCCGAATGATAATTTTCAATTAATTTTTCTACATATTGTTTGTGCTAATTATAATGTGTGTTTAATCCAATTAACTTACCCGACTTTATGTTTTGTGTTCTCTTAATTGTTTTCTCTTGCAGTAATTTTCAATCCTTCTGATTTTGATTTTCTTCTTACCAAAGGCAATAATAACGTGCCAGTGGATCGTAGTTCGTTATTATTAAAATTTGATCCTTTAGTGGGTATACCAATTCCCGCTAATACGGGACAAGCCCTGGCTCAAGGATTGAAATTGCAATCACAGCAGCAAGAGCAGCGTCATCATCAGGAGCAGCAGCAGCAGCAGCAGCAGTTACGCTTACATTTACTCAATGCCACGAACAATAATGCGAATAATAGACCATGTCTAAGTCCAACTTTGGAAGAGAATTCGACTGAGGATATTTCATTTGTTAATGAACCAACAACAAAAACTTTTACCCAAGTAACTAATCGATTGACTAAAGGAAAATCCATACAACAACCGAAGCAGCAGCAACAACAACAACAACAAAGCTATAAACCAGATAAAAATCAATTACTTGGAAAAGAATATAAAGTAAATATTGAAAAAAACAAAAAAAGGATATCCATTGACTATGATGAACGTACGTTATTTTATTTTTATACTTCTTCTCTTACATGACCTCTAACAGAAGCATGCCACAATGAGTGTCGATGTCGATGTGATTAAGGACGTCAGTTTAGATAACGATTGTAATAAAACCTACGACAATTCCAAGTAAGTAAGAATTTCTGTTAAAAAAACGATTTTTTTTTTTTTTGTACAAAACCTTTTCACTTACATAAGTGCCTTCCTCTCTCTCTGTCTCTCTCTCTCTCTCTTTTATATATTTTTGCATAAAAACAGCAACACCTCACCAACTGATGATAAACCGCAGATCAACTATAAAATGGATGAACTTGAGAAAAAAATCAAAAATGAAGTGTGAGTATAACAAAAAAAGAGAAAAAGAAAAGCAATCTGTCAGTTATGCGGTTTGTCTGAACTCCTTTGTCTGATTATGGCCAAGTCATGTTTCCTTGTCATCCTTTATTAGTTTCCCGGAATAGCTTATCGTGAGCCATTGAAACTCATTAAGTTATCAAGTGCAAGAAAAGTATGAAAAAAAAAATTTTTTTTTTCTTTTATGTTTCATAAAACTCTTTTATGTCGTGTGATCTATGGCATATATAAATGTCCTGCTGTGTCCTTATTAGGTCTAAATAAACCAAAAGGGTTTAAAAGTCATTGATTTTAAAACCTTTCAAACATTAGTTTGAATCAATTCTTGCAAACAGCAAAAAAAAATTTTGAAATTTGGGCGTGTCCTCATCTATGAGGTGAGATTAAACATTTGCCTTAATCCACTAAAATGAATGTAAAAAAATTGCTGTCTCTGTACGAACGAAATGTGCCAGATACTTTTGCTCTCGAAAGCAGCATCAAATCATACGACAATATTACATAATATACTTTTATATCCGTCAGCGAACGATGAGGGATAAATTCATTATGTAAAAATGTTTGCAACGGCCTGAAGGTAGCTTCAGACACAAAACAAAGTATATATATAATTATGAATTAATTTAAGCATGGTCGTCTATCCGTCCGTGTAGAGTCTGTCCTAAGCATTCCTCTGGCCGCAAAAATGAAGCTATTGACTTGAAATTTGGCCGAAACATTGTAAGTTCAAATTACACAATCTGGACTCTGGTGCTATATAGATATATACGTATATATGAATGCCTTAAAAATTTTGTTCAGTTCAGACCGAACCTTCTGTATCCACTATCGTTTAACTTCCATACACTATAATGTTGGATAGGCATAGCTGGTTTTCTAGAATGAAAGTGCAGCGGTGAGACATCTCCATTGGGTACATTTATCACACAATTAATAGACAATTGGACAGCGGAACGGATAAATGTCTAGAACGGTATACATATGATTTAGATCGATTAGAAAGATATGCGGGCTTCATAATGCCTCTGAAGATTTCAATATTATATAATATTGAGTAAGCGTGACCGTCTTTGTACAGGAGAGCTACAGGACCATCCATAGAAAATCTATTCAAAATTTTTATCGTTATAGTTCATAAATAACAAGCACAAAAGTCAATTTTTTTTTTTTTTTTTAAAACAGTGGCGGTCTCATCTTATGTTATATTGTAGGCGTACCCTTTAACCGATTCAGTCCAATTCCAAAGCAATTTTCGTGCAAAAACTTCAATATTTCTGCCAAATTTGAAGCAGATAGCTTCCTTTTTTGTGACAAGGAGAATGTTTATCACAGACAGATGGACAGACGGACATGCTCGAATTGGTTTAAAATTTCATGCTGACGAAGAATATACGTTTACTTCATGGGATATTTGAAGTTTCCTTTAGTTAAAATGATGATGTCCCATATACGCCAATGAAAACGAGTGCAATAAAGATATTTGCTTCCATCATTGTTTTAAAATGTGTTAGAATTTTACTATTGGCAAAAATTTCCTTTATGCTGTACTTATCTACTTTATATTACAATGTATCATCATAGTAAGTGCGGTTCAACATTTTATTATCGTTTAACAGCCTCAAAACAGAAGATATTGAGAAAAAACTTAAAGACGCTGAACAACGCGAGGAAGCTTTAATAAAACGTATTACGGAAAAAGATAAAGCTTTATCAAAAATGAAGTAAGTGTTTTTTTTTTTTGCTTTTAATTTTAATTTAAAAATTTTTTAATTTTCCCTTCCCCCTATTTTGTTTGCTAGTGGCGTCATTGAAGCCTATGAAAAGGCCATAGCTGAACTGATTGCCGAGAAGGAACAATTAATACAAAATTATGAAAAACAATTGGTCGAAGTGAAGGCTGATCGTGATTCGTATTATCATCATTTAACCTCACTGGAAACGACCTTCTCCGATTTGCATGTGTATGTACATTCATAAATTATATATTGCGTCTATGCATAAATGCGCTGCAAGTATAGTAAATGGTTTATAAAATGTTGACTAAGATCAGATATGTCTACAAAGTTGTTCAAAGTTTGCCGCTGTGACCAATATCAACTGTTTCTATAGTTATTCATCGCTTTCGCTTACGGTATTCTCCAAACTAGGCGAACAAAGTGAGAATCTTAGTGTGAATGTTAAAACTTTGATATCAAATTTTCGTAGGCAGTGTGTTTCACTTCGTACCAAGCTAATGTTCACTAATCATTTCCAATAAACATTCATTTTTGCTACTGTCCTTGTAATAAAATTTTTTGACACTTTCTCGCTGTTCACACTCGCTTCATACTCGCTTAGGTAAATGAAGTGTATAGTGTTTTTAGTTTTCAACATTTTTTTTTGTAATTTTCGAAAATGAAATTTGAAATGTTTACAAAATAATACAAGCCGCCCTCTGGCATATGCTTACATTGAATATATTATTTCCATAAACAACAAACACGTTATAATGTCCTTGAATTTATTTTTACAAATAACAAATTGATTAGAACAGTTTTTTTCGTCCACGTGTACGTGCACTGAGCTATATAAAAATGTTCTATAAGGAAAATTGATTAGATGCCATTGGCATGCCAAGCATGCGATTTGTACGTTGCAGACAATTGTTAATGATGGTGATAGGAATAATTAACTTTTAAATTAACGTCTTAGTTGAATGCACAAACAAGTTTTGCCGTGTACCGAAAATGGTACATGCAGTTGTTAATGTGTTGCAAACAATTTTCTTGCACAAATGAGCTTTGGCGTGTACTGAAAGAGGCACACGTAACGCTTAAGGCGTTACAAAGATTTGCTTGTGTTCTAAAAGACTTGCTTTCCCGTGATTTTATCACTAAAAAATTAAGAAACTACAAAAATTCTCAAAACATTTTTCAACATCTAGTGAATTTGTTGATAAATATATTTTATTTTTCGAAAGAAGGCTGTTAAAACAGCTCTGGATTAAAGTAAGTCCTTTAAATTGTATTGCAGTGCTACCACAATGAGCAGGCTTTTGTGATCTTCCAAAATCCAAAACGCATTTCTTCGCTGGAAAGTAGGTATATTATGAATACATTATGAGACGATACTTGATATTTGAAGTCGCCAATCGATTATAGGACATTAGGAAGCGTTCCAACCGCCATGATGACCCCAAATCAAAAACTCAATTACATGCAATAAAATTTTCATTTCCCCTTGCAACGCCTACACTTATAAAGTTTGCCTTTCAAATCTTTTCAGACTTTAGAATGAGTTAAGACTTCTCCAATTCAAAATGACGGCTACAAGTAGATTAAAAATAAAAATAATTTTTAAGTCAGCAGCAAATTTATGCATTAGACCCCCTTGAATGTTATATAATATATGAAGCTTACAATAATTAATCATTTAATTGTTATTAAATGATTTAATTGCAGTAAATATGAGAAAAGTAAAGAGATGACGTGTCAACTTAAGGGCAACGAAGAGGCTTTATTAGCAGAGAAACGACGTACTTTAGAAAATTTGCGATTGCAGGAGCAACGATATGAGAAAATGAAAAGCCATGCAATGCAACAATTGGAAATGTAAGCAGAAGCGGACACAACACACACACACAACTGTGCATAGACATATGTATATTTAAAAAAAAAATTCTTTATTTTCTTTTTAGAGCTAATAAAAAACTGGAATCTTTAACCAAAGATCATGCGATAGAGACGACAAAACTGAAAGCGTTACTTAAAAAGCAAGAAATCGCTCATTCATCGATTACTGAACAATTAATGCAGAAAACAAAGGAGAATGCGGAACTTATGAAAATTTGTGATGAACTTATATCGGGTCAAGGAAGTTAAGGATGTTGTTGCAATCGTCGTCGTCGTCGTCGTCTTCAGTCACATTCACACATATACATGATGATAATTATTTAAAAAAAAAAAAAAAAAAAAGAACAACAACAAACAAAAAAAAAATACACAAACTTAATTACATATATGAATGAAAATTAAGTTTATCCCAATTTTTTGGTTGTATGTGTTCTTCTCTCCTCTCAGTTAAGGCTTAATTTACTCAATAATTAATAAACTAAATTAACATTTAACATTTACACTATTAAAAACAAATAAAATGAAAGCGCACATAATGGACAACCACAAAAGAAAGTAATTTGTTCCAGTTACTTGTTTTTTATTTATGATTTATTTGTTTTTGTTCGTATTTTGCACCTATGGTTGTCTTTTATTGGTTTATATATACATTGTAAAGCGCTTTTTATAAGTTTTTCAAATTCAAATTTTCTCTTATATAATTTAACAAATAGTAGTAAAAATAATTATTGTAATAAGTTTAAGGAAAAACAAAAAAAAAAGGGAAAAAAAAGGGAAAAAGAAAAAGAAAGCGAGCACACTACATTCATTGCATAAAAACAAAAAACAAAACAAAACTTAAAAAAAAAAAAAAGAAAAGAAGAACAACTCTGTTCATACTATGATATTCTGATCTTAAGTTGTTGTGATTCGTTTATTTATTTATCCTTTAAATTAAAATACAACAAGCATAATGTCGTAACTTTTTTGTAATCACATCATATATTCCTAATGTAAATGTATACTCTACTACCACCTACTCCTAGTGCACGTTGGTTTTTGTTTTTTTTTTTTAATCATTGCATTCAATAACTTATTGTTTAGTTTTGTTTTTTTTTTTTAATTTGCCTTTACCTCTGTATTCATTAATTATTAAAAATTATTCTTTAAGAGATATTTTTCTCACAATATTTGTTTTCAATTATTCTAAAATTGTTTGGTAGAAAAAAAAAAAAAATAATAATAATAAACAAAGAAACAAAGAAAGGATTAAATATAACTTAAACAATTTGAACTTTTGAAAATTTTATTTTTATCTCTTTTTTAGTTTTTACTTAAAGCCTATATATATACACTTTAAATTATGAAACTATGACAATTCATATGCAGTTTATTGTTTTGAAAACCGGTTTCAAATTCCATTAAACTGTACCCACCACCTCAATAAGCTGACATTTTTCATTTTTATATTTTTTTTGATAAAAATATTTCAGTCCTAGAAATTCGCACAAACTTTTGGCATCAGTTTCGATTTTGTAATTCGTTTTTAAAAAAATTTTCAAATTTTATTTACGGAACTTAGCTAAGGATACTAACGGAAAATATATTTTTTTATTTAAATTTTCTTACACACTCTCGGCTGTGAACCTAAACATCTATATAAGAAACTCAATTTATATTAATTTGGATGTGTCGTCTGTAAGGGTATAGCTAAGCAGAATTCTCTCAAGTTACATAATGACTGCTACAGCAGGAATTCCGTCCTCTTCTGCCAGTATAAAGCAACCCTAAAAATGTTCTCGCAAAACTTCCAATGAAAGTTTCTTAAAAAACTTTCTTTTAGGATTTAAAAAGCCTTAGGATCGATACTATCTGCCTACCTGCATATACGTCTTTATATATAAATATATATATACATATAACATATAATCTAACATGCATACACTTTTGTGTATAGACATTGTACATATATAGATATATATATATATATATATATACATATGTACGCATGTGTATGATTGATGATGGATTGATCGGCCTGTCTAGGTATTTAGACTACATTAATAATTTATTCACTTATACAAGTGATGTATGCAGAAAAATGGGAATTTTTGAAAAATTTTTGTGAAATTTATATATACATACACATAAATAAACTTCACTTTTTTTACACGGTAGGTATGTTCCTTCGAAAATCGTATAAAAAAATCTAACTTTTTTTAAATGATAGATAAACTCGTTCGAAAATTGTGTAAAAAAACCATATGACATATGGTAAATTTGAGGATATGTTCCCCAACTTGGAAAAGTCGTGTAAAATGAGAAACTCGAAATATTTTCCCCAAAAAATATATAAAACAAAATCTATTCATTTTTATTACAACAAAAAAATAAAATTAGTGTACAATTAAAATGCAATCCCTATTGAAATTGGGAATAGAAATCGATGTCGCATTTCATCAATTATCATCAATACAAACTGTACTGGAAACTTTACCATTGAGATTAAAAAAAACTGTAGTTTGAATCCTATCAAAATTATTTATGGGTTCCTACGGGCTCGGAACACTCCCAATACAAAATAAATAGTGAAAAAGAAAAGGCGATTGTGTTCAAATTGTAATACAACGAGATAAAGAAAAGACTAATCATAAAATTCGGGTATTCCTCGTAGTAGATTAACTCGTTATCATATATGCGAGTTTAAGCCGCACGGTACTATTCCACCAATTCTACTTTATTGCTGTGTACATAAGTTTCTGTAAGACACTGTCAAAGTTAAAATTAAAGCAAAAATTTTTTTTTGGGATTCATTCTAACACAAAATTTTCATTTGTTCTTATTGGTAATTCGCGTTATTTCAAAACCAGTTCAAAAAATATCGTGGAAAAAAAGATTGTTATTTTTTTGAATCGCGCTAATTTAAGATTGGCTGCAAGAATATCGTGTAAAAAAAGAATTGGGTGAACATAGACAATGAAGTAAAGCCGGGGAAAATGTCATATTTGTGAACCGTGTTATTTTAAGATTGGCTACAAGAATACCGTGTAAAAAAAGAGCTAATGTATAACGTGTAAATTTGGTCAGCGTTTTTAGTTATTTAGTCGGTTATCTGTTTGTTAAGCTAATATCTTTTTTTTTTTTAAGTAAAAACTTCAAACGCTGGCTGGATGGTATGGAAGCTACCTTTAATAAAAATTTATTCACCTAACCTATTTGACACGAATTGTTGTCAAAATATCGGTAATATCAATAAAGAAGCAAAAGAGAAAACTAGGGTCGCATTAAAGTTCCGTATGCATCCAAAATGTTATTTGCATAGTGACTTAAACGAGTTATCTCAAAATTTTAAATTATCTCTTATATGTTTCAATTTATAAAAGTATTGAAGTATTAAAATTGAAAATTTTATTCTCAATAGTTTTCAATTGCTCTTAGCTTCTGAATTCTTAAATAAGTAAACACTTGTAGTTTTAGCAGAATTTATAGAGTCTTTGAAAGAACTTTTTCGTTGATAGGTTGGTGGCGTTTTAAAAAAATTTTTTTAAGTAACACGTGATAAAGCGCTTAAAGTACGAAACCTACTTTTTTATTAAGCACTAAAAATCGTGTGAGTATTCTTTTCTTTGGAGGAAAGAACTTTCGCTTAGTTTCGCTAGCACGATATTCACATTTTTTAATAAAAGTATTTTCACTAGTTAACGCGTTAGGTGGAACTTTCCCTTCGCAAGTATAAAATTCACTTTTTCTTTTTTTTTATTGCTGCCCTTAATGTGCAACCAATCCAAACGATAATTAAATGCACGCCATACATATATACGTAGTGATGAAGGAATTCATAATACTTTTTTTATGGGCAAAAACTTTCGGTTTTTTTCGTTTTCCTTTCAATAGATTAGGTATGACCATGAGACATTCCAAATGTTTTTTAAAAGATTGGTGATAAAGTATGCAATAAGAAATGTGATTTCCCCGCCTTCATTTATTATCAGTTATAAAAGAGAATAGAGGTATGCAGGTCTCGTGGGAGATTTCATTAGTTTTCAAGTTGACTTGTCAGCCCGTCTGTCTGCTATGATCGCAAAAATTCCGACAGGAAGGCAAAATTTTGTGTTTGGATACAGAATAGTTTCGTCTAGTCATTTAAGTTCTAACAAGTTAAAATCCGACATAATATACCCTATAACACTTGATCTATATTCATAAAAAAAATTTCAAAAATTTTAGATTCCTTTTCTTGAGAACGCTTATAAGACCGAAAGAATGCGAAAAATAGATCTGTGAAATTATATGATAAGTGGCTTTTCCGGCCCCATACGAAGTCTCCGATACGTGGTATTATTATGTACGCTACACAAATCTTTTATATTTCAGATCAAAAATTAACATTTGTTTCTTTAGAAATCTCTCCCACGTCTGCAACTAGTTACATATTGATTATGACAATTGAAAACAAGTGAAAAAATTAGTGGAAATGGTCTCCGGCCCAACATTTAACACCCTTCACAACTTTCTTTAATACAATTATTGATATAACGATTTCTTAAAAATAATATAAAAGGCCTTATAAGGGGAGTTGTCAAAAAAGTGATCCTATCCGAACTGTTTTCAATAGCGTTCGTCCACGCACCCAAACATTTCCATGTAAGAAATTTCAATAAAAAAAATTGGTAAATGACGACCCTGGTTGAATACAAAAAGCGCTGACGGACAGACGAGCTTAAATTGATTTAGAAAGTGATTCTGAATAAGAGGTGGATTCAACTCAAGTCCCCCTGGTGCATACAGCCGCACATATGTAATACATCTTTGTGTCACAACTTATTTGGGATATAGCAAGACCTAGAGCCTATTATGATATGGTAAAGTGGAAATCTATCGGTTATGGACTCGCTCGACACTACGCGTTTTTTCTTACTATTGATTGGAAAATCTTTCGATTGGAATTATCAACCAATCCCTACTTCGGAGTTTTATATGCAGTAGGTACTGGCGCTTGTTTTTCATGACAATTCTTTCAATTTGTATTATAACTTTTCTTATCATCATCATTAAAATTTGACTTAAGTGTATAGAGAAAGCTACAAAGCTAGCGGCCTAGAGGATGACACTTAAGTATCTAGTAATTATATACAGTGGATCCTTTTTACATCAAATTTTCGGTTGTCGATTGGTTGAGCAGAAGATCAAGAAAAATAAGAAGAAGAAGAAATATGTAAAGTATTTCAATTTTGAATATCATATTTGTCGGAACTAAGTAGAAAAAGAAAGTAATGGTTTCCTAATTCCAAATTTTCCTTAGTTCTAATCCTATCGCAATCGAATATTTTTAGCTAAAAAAAATTTTCATATACAAATTTAAGAATTTCTTTACAACAAAAATACGAAAATTAAGGCGAATTTAGATCGATTAGTGCGATCAAGAAACAGAACTATCTCTGATCTTTGTAAATGTATCCAGTATTACATCTTCAGGTGGTGGGGTTAAAAGGAAAATGTTTGAATTAATTTTCAATTACATACAAAAATCGTTCATCAAGATTTTGATGCAAATTTGAATTAAAAAAAATAAAAAAAAAAAGGAGAATTCGAGAAACTTCCATTCCTAAGTAAGTATACTTAACTAAACATAATAAAAATAAAATAAAATTTTTGAAAAACTAAACAAACACTGAACTCATCCTTACATTAATAATCAAATCTCACATTGAAAAAAAAAAAAAACAAATGTTTAATATTATGAAAACTAAGACAAGAAAAGAAAAAAATATCCCTAACATCTAAAAATCGTATATATTTTTATAGCATTAAAAAATAAATCTGATCATTTTTTTTTAAATGAAAAAGAGCAAAAAGGAAAAAAAGAGCAACACAAAATAAACTCGTAGACGCTTTTCTATCAAATTATTGAGAAACGTATCTTTCACTATCATCCCCCCCGCCCCCCTCCGCCCTCCATCACCCACTCCCTCACGCACCTCTTTCCCATTCCATAACGTTGATAATTGACATTAAGTTGCATATGTTTTTGATTTTATTCTTGTGAGCCATAGTTTAGTTAAATTTATAAAATAAAAATAAAACTCACACAATTATTATAATAATAAGTCAATCTATAATAATGTATGTACTTTGAATTAGTTCTATCTCTTGCGCTCTGATATCTGTAATATCTAAGAATGTAAAAAAAAAGAAAAGAAAAGAAAGAATTTTACTCATTATTATGAGGAAAGTGATTGATGATTGTCAGTATATAGTATTATTTAAACACACAAAAACAAAAAAAAAAAACAAAGAAATCATGAAAAAAATCGATATAAAAGAAAAAAAAGAACACTGATGGAAAAACATGTCTTTACAAAAATAAAAACAAATTAATATAATAAAAACTTTTATCTTACGAGGGCAGTAATGTAAATCAACAAATACGAGGATTGTGTCATAAAATCGACAACAATCGCTCAAAATGTTTCTATTAAACATCTACATATCTATGCACGCATCACTCAATAAGTCTCCGGTCTTAAAAGTGTTATGAGATCTCTGTCGAAAACAATAATTTGTCGGTGGCTTCATGATACGAAAAAAGATTGCATGAACTGCGGCTTCAAACGTCTGATTTAAGTAGTTATTCCGGAAACCATAAAAAAGTTTATGAAGACCGTAAAATTAAGTTACTTGAGATAGCTGAGATCAGAAGGCAGTGTAACATTTTGCTTCAGTAGAGTTCTAGAAGTGCGTGCCTTGCTTGCTTACTTTTCATTATTTTGTGTTGATAATTCAGAGCAATATTTGGTGCTGTGTCGGCGGAATAGATAGTTGACTGTCGGATAAAAAATTCGTATTCACAAGCAGTGTACGATTTTGCATGAACCTTTGTCCATGAAAGACCTCCGCTAGAGCTCTAGAATTGTGCGCAGGGAAGTAAATTAAGTTTGCTAAATTTTGATCATGTCTTATAATCTTTCGGGCGTCCTCCAATAAACAGGCTATAATGGAAAGTAAGGCTTTGCAGGAAAACAATGTGTAATTTTTGATGTATTTTAAGAAAACGTGAGAATGACTAGGCGAAGCGATGTAGAGTATCTAAAACCCGGCCTTGCCCGACTATAATATCCATACTTGGTATATTCACCACTGAAGGATGGTACTACACTCACTTTTTTTTCGTAACTTATTTGACATCTAAAAGGAAGCTTCAGAGACCTTATAAAGGACGCATACTTTTCATCGGCGGAAAATTCTGAATTGATTAAGCCATGTTTGTCCGTCTGTGACTGTGTGGTGCTTGTTGTTTGTACTCTCCTCATAGCAAAAGCGAACATGTCGTTTTCAAATATGGTAGAAATATTGATAGTTTTTGCTCGCATGTTGCTAAGGAAAATGATCCAAATTGACCACAGCAGAAGCCCGCAGGGAAGCATAAATTAAACACAAGTCCGTTTTTCTTATGGGTTTTTGCTCGTTATTCAGAAGTTATCAAAGCTAGGAACGCTGAAAATTTTCACATTTACTTTACGAAATGCTTTACTCGTTACGCGCTAAAATGAAAAAAATCGGCCATGCCCAAAACAAAGTTGTAAGTAATTAAAAATTTTTTTTTTTCATTTGTTTGAGGTTTTATGCTTATTTATCATAAGGCAAACAAAATAGAACGGGTAAATCTATTTTGTGCATTCCTCAAATGAAAGTATACTATTTACCTAAAATGGGTTAATTCTGAAATGAATATGGCAGACACCGCGACCTTGTTATTTAATTTTTTTCTTAATCATACCAGCGATATGGATATCAAATAAAAGAACTTGAAGAGTAGAATAAGAAAAACATAAGGGTAGGTAGCCCCCCGCTCCCCGCTCCGCCTTGACCCACGACAAATATAATGTTCTTACTTGTTTTTTAATTATTGTTATTATAAAACTATAAAGAGGTTTAAAAACGCAAGGACAAGTAAACATTAATTATTTTCGATTCGTTTCGTAGCATCGATCGCCTAAGTTCCTGACATTATTCCATGATCATTCGAATCGTTCGAATAAGCAAAAAAGATTCTCGGAAAGTGAAAGCTCTACTATGCTATGATTTAAGCTTGTAGTAGTGGCAAATAGAAAACAACAAACTCCTACTATGACCACGCCTGGTTCTTAATGAATTTAAAAATTTAAATGTCTTCGGCTGACAGAGTTTGAATATAAATTCAGCAAATATATTAATCAGTTAAAATGTTCCCTAATAATTACTGGAGATTCTTAAATATTCTCATTATGAAATTCGATCTTCTTGAGGAATTAAAACCTAATCTTAATAAAAAACACTAAAAACTGACAATAATCCTCAATAATTAGGCGTTTACAAATATTTTGATGGCTTTTTCACATGAAGAAGGCATTTATTGTGGATAAATGGAACAATATATATATATATATATCTAAATAGTTTCCACCATATTCTACAGCATTTTACAATACTTTTGGCAACATGGTGGTATAATGTCGAAAGAAGTTATATGCGGTTGGCAGCGATCCCATCCTTCGACGCATTTCCGCACTTCTTCAACTTTCCACGATAGCCAAGTCCTGCTGTACAAGTGGTAATCAGGAGGCACTAGGCCTGACGATACACTGGGTATGACAGAGCTTCCCATTCGAGTTACAACAGTGTATCCTGAGCAACTCTTGCAAGAAGTAGTCAAAAAACGGCATTTTCAGGAAATTCGGGTAGCCTCTGTCGGAACCGTTGAACCTGATACGTAAGAGCGGCATTACCGCATAAGCCTCTGAACGTGTTTGATGGGCTTCGACGGCAGATTTCATCAAATAAACAGCAAAAGTGAAGAAAAAGAATTTTAGGCGCTCCATGATTAGCATCGGTGTACGCTGAATAAATCAATAACAATAAATGGACAACTACCATATTATCTAGAGGAAGGTCAAAACAATCGAATTCAACCGTTATTTCCCATTTCTTTGTCATTTTTACCCATAGTAGTCGCTGATCAAAACTTTTGCAAAACACTTAATAACTCATTTTAAATGTTGTTTGAAACAACATTACATTTACCTTAGGATGAATGATTTTAAAATTTAAGCAACTTTGATTATACGATCATTATACGATCATTATGCTGCGGGATAAAATCCTATGAATTTCTCAAATTCTTTTTATTTTCCTTTCTTTCTTTCCTTCGTTGCTGTCTTTCGTAAAAACGATAAACTCTGTAAAAGCATTCCTACGCAAACCAGTTTTGAATTCGCATCATAAACATCTGATCAAAGAGAATATCTTTTCCTATTATCAGTGGCTAATGCAATAAACACTGGCGAGAGATAGCCGCATATATGTTTAAATTAATCTAATAATCGCATACTGTAAATAAATTTTGAAAGTGAAATTAGGAAGGAAAACCTTTCGCTTGCATTCAATAAATAGACGATAAGAGGGGTAATAACAAAATCAAACAAAATGTTACGCAATTCTATTAAATGAGATATTTTTTGTATTAATTTAAGAAAAATGAATTTCGCCGGTAAAGTAGTGCTAATTACCGGGGCAAGTTCCGGTATTGGAGCTGCCGCAGCAGTGAAATTTGCAAAGTTGGGCGCAATACTGGCTTTAAACGGACGTAATGTGGAAAATTTGCAGAAAGTTGCGGAACAATGCACTGCGGTGAGTAAATGTACACCGCATCTGGCAGTGGGTGATATCTCCAAAGAGACCGACACGAAAAAAGTTTGGGAAGAAACATTTTGTACATATAAAAAATTGGATGTTCTAGTTAATAATGCGGGAATTATTGAAACTGGTACTATTGAGAATACTTCGTTGGAGCAATATGATCGGGTAATGAATATAAATTTACGTGCCATGTATCATTTAACTATGTTGGCGGTACCGGAATTGATTAAAAGTAAAGGTAACATAGTCAACGTAAGCAGTGTTAACGGTATACGTTCGTTTCCGGGAGTACTCGCTTATAATATATCAAAAATGGGGGTCGATCAGTTTACACGTTGCGTGGCCTTGGAATTGGCCGCGAAAGGAGTCAGAGCGAATTGCGTTAATCCCGGCGTCACAGTAACTAATCTACACAAACGTGGTGGCATGAATGCAGAAGCGTACTCGAAATTTTTAGAACACTCTAAGACGACGCATGCATTAGGCCGACCTGGCAAAGCCGATGAAGTTGCCGATGCTATCACCTTTTTAGCCAGCGATTTAGCATCCTTCACTACAGGCGTCAGTTTGGCTGTGGACGGTGGTCGTCATGCTATGTGTCCCCGATAAACAATAAATATATATATATATAAAAGGAGAAATTGTGTTGTATTTGCATTTAAATAAATCTTATATTGATTCAATAATAACATACTATAGATGCAGGCAAGCATTCTCTATATATTCTCTTGTCGGATTAGAGGCTTAACGCTTTTCTGCTCACTTAGGGACCTGTATTATAATTCTTAAAAATTTGTCATTCACAGCACAATTAGTAGTACAAAACTATAAAATAAATTTTAAATTGATCCAAATAGCGCCATCGAACCATGTCTGCTTATCTTGCTATAACGAGTTTAAAATTTTCCGTGCAACAAGAAACTTAAAAATCTCTTATGTTCTCTTACCGCTTTCGACGAATTAAGCACACAAATCAAAAAATTCAACAGTTCAGTCTAGAGATCTGTTTCAAGTTGGTATATATATATATATATATATATACGAGGAAACGAGGAGATGCTTCCGGGAATACAGTCGCCTTTTTCGGATTCTGTTCTACTTTTTCAAAACTGTTTTTTTTACAAATACAAAGCTTACAAAATTTAAAAATTGTAACTAAAAAAAAAAGCTGCACGGAAGCATTTTCAAAATGCATTATTTTGCCAGAAAGTTCTTGTATCCAAATTTTGTACATGTATACATAAATATATACATATCTTGAATATATATATATATATATATATATATATTCAAAAGTTCCTTTCAAGTGGAAAACAATCCCACCCCCGTTCTTCGTTAAGATTAAATATCGATAGATCATATATTTAACTGCAGTCATAGAATATTTCACTTATCAAAAGTGTCGGACATGCCTCGTTGAAAACGATGTTGTGAGATATGCACTTAGCAACGTTATCACAAAGCACAAAGCACTTATTCCTCTTTTAAAATGAATTGAATAATAAACTTAATGCTATGATTTTGTGGATGAATTGATATTTGTACTAGTATCACAACAAATTTATTTAATAATCTTCAAGTTTTTTTTTTTTTTTAACATTGATATTGAATGCTTTTATAGGATGATCAATTTCAGGCAAAATAAATGCTTTCATTTTAGATTTTTACTTCTTCCCTATCAAGTAGTGGGTGTCTCTATCTAGGGCACATGGCATGGCGGCCACCATCCACTGGTAAACTGACACCAGTAGTAAAGCTGGCATGATCACTGGCGAGAAAAGCAATTGCATGTGCGACTTCTTCAACTTGACCCACACGTCCTAAAGCGTGCGTCGTACGACAATGCTCTAGAAATTTGGCATACGTCTCATCATTCATACCGCCACGTTTATGAATGTCTGTTACAATAACACCGGGGTTAACTGAATTGCATCGTACACCCTTCAAGGCCAGTTCAAGGGCAACGCATCGCGTAAATTGATCGATAGCAGCTTTTGAGATGTTATATGACAAGACACCAGGAAATGAGCGAATACCATTAACACTGCTCACATTCACTATATTACCTTTTGTGGCTATTAAATATGGCACTGCTAGCATTGTAAGCTGATACACTCCTCTAACATTAGTATTCATTATCCGGTCATATTGCTCCAAACTCGTATTTTCAATTGTTCCCGTTTCCAATATTCCAGCATTGTTAATTAATACGTTTATTTTTCCACACTTTTTAATAGTATCATCTATTACGCGTTTAACATCCTGGTCATTGGTCATATCCGCTTGAAGCGCAAAGGGCGTTTTACCTTTAACAGCTTGTATCTTAGCCGCAGTTTCTTGCAACTTCTCAAGGTTGCGACCCACAAGAACTAATTGACCGCCTAATTTAGCCAAATGTACAGCAGCAGCAGCTCCAATACCAGAACTTGCTCCCGTTATTAAAACAACTTTATCTGAAAAATCCATGATCCGATATCTTAATGATCCGACACTTAACTCACGTAACAACTAGATCTCTAATCAGAATTGATGTAAAACAGTCTATTACTATTTAACTAATCTGATTGACTTGCCAGGTATACTTTTGGTAACTTTTGAAGTTGGTAACACTGGTATTTAAATAAAAAGTGGTATTTAATAATTGTTGAAGTTTTTACAATTAGGAAATTTACGCACCCACATATTATCAAACAATACACGAATGAGTAATGCAAAAACAAAAAAAGATTCCTTAATAAGATAAAAACAATACAATACTATATTTACATAAGAAACGTATAAAAATATTAAGATCATCATCTTCTTATTTCCTAGCTGAAAAATTTTTATAAAGTTTATGTATGCATGTGGCTAATATGCAAGGAAATATATATTTTTTTAACCTGCAATGCTATCTTTAAATGATATGCTAGAAAGAGAAGACAGTGATAAAATAGAATGAGAATGGACATCATGAGGAGCGTCGAGATTCTAGCAAGAGTAAGTGAGCTTATGTACATGTCTATTCTCTGACTAGAGAAAATTGAAAATATTGTATGAAAAATTTAGACAAGCGAAATGAGGCGTTCACTTTTAATCGTCACGAGAAGTTGTCCTCGATAAAACTAAAAAGGGTGACGAAAGATCGTTTCGATAATTTTTAGTGATTTTTTATGATTATTTTTGTGGCTCGCAAACATCTCTCAACATAAAATAATAATAATTTTTGTTTGAATCTGGCAATGCGATGTTTGAGAGTTTTTATTAAATAGTCTTAATTAGTCTTTAAAGAACACAGATATAATATGGACTTCAACGGAAAAGTTGTACTTGTTACAGGAGCTAGCTCGGGTATTGGTGCAGAAGTTGCCAAGGAATTTGCCGGTTACGGAGGCAAATTGGTTTTAGTCGGACGTAACGTAGAGAGATTAAATAAGACTGCTGAAGCTTGCTTAAATTCAAGTAATCACCTAATAATACAAGCAGACGTCACAAATGAAGAAGAAGTAAAGCAAATGTTTAAAACGGCCCTTAATAAATTCCAAAGATTGGATATTTTGGTAAATAATGCTGGTATCATTGAAATTGGCAGTATTGAGAACACTAGCCTTGAACAATACGATCGCGTCATGAATATAAATATGCGTTCGATTTATCACTTAACAATGCTTGCAGTTCCTGAATTGAAAAAAAACAAAGGTAATATTATCAACGTATCTAGTGTATGCGGTTTACGTTCCTTTCCCGGAGTATTAGCATACAACATCTCTAAATCGGCTTTAGATCAGTTTACTAAATGTGTCGCCTTGGAGTTGGCCGCAGCCGGTGTGCGTTGTAATTCCGTTAATCCGGGCGTTATTACAACAGAATTACATAAACGCGGTGGCATGGATGAAACTGCGTATGAGAAATTTCTAGAACATTCTAAAGATACTCATCCTTTAGGCAGAGTTGGTACCGTGAAGGATGTTTCTAATGCTATATGTTTCCTGGCTAGTGACAAAGCGAGCTTTATAACCGGTTGTAATATGCCGGTAGACGGTGGTAAACAAGCCACTTGTCCCAGATGAAAACATTTCGATTAATCTTGTATTGGAATTAATAAAAATCATATTTTTTATATTTTGATGCAAATGGGCTTTCTTAAAAGTGGTATTAAAATTATTATTATTATTATAAATTTAGCCAGAGAATAAATTCTGAGACTAATGTCTTAAAGCACTAGCATCTAAGGCTTTCGGCTTTAGTAAAAACTCTACCGCACTTGAGATTTGAACCCACGATCATTGAGTTTTTAGTCGAGACTTGCCTACTCGGCCACTCAGGCGGATGGTATTAAAATTAAATTATAATCTATGAATAAGTTTTCAAGATTTCTGATCCGGATATTTCTTTTGTACTCCAATCTGTAGGTAAACGTTGTATCTACCGTACAGGATAAGCGGTGCTGTGGATTATTAAGACGTTTATAGCTGAAAGAGGAAAAGTAAGCCGGTCTGCTACAACTATGGAGTGTCTATTTCTCTATAAAATTCTCGAATGTTGTTATTGTGCTTTTCACGTGTACAGAGACATTCGATTTTTAGTTTTCTTTAATACTTTTTAATTTTCGGACTGTGCAACAATAGATAGATGTTCTTTTGAAAGTTGTCTTAATGGAAAGAGTTCCCGCAATCTCAACCGCTTTAGTCCCAAAAGAAGAAAAAAGTATATATGCAAAAAAAGCACAGTTGCAATAAGAATTTATTTATATGCCATCTGTTTTCGTGTTTTTCGCTTTTTATATAATCGTTGTCTACACTCATTAATCTTTTGCTATTAAAGCGTGATGTCTGTTAGCCTAAACAGCCATATTCTAATCACTGACCACTGACAGAAATTCGTTCGTTAATACTTTTTTTTATCGAGTCTTGTGATTGTATTGGTTTAGGCATTAAAAAGAGTAAAATTTGCCAAATCGTAGATATAAGAAAAAAAGTGATCTACAATTTTTCCGTTTCACGTTATTATCAGTCTTAACCAGTCTAAACCATTGGAATTCTTACGCGAAGATTAGTTTGGAAAATTGGCCAAAACGCTCAAAGCTCAAATTGGGTTTCGCTCCTCATCATTTATAACCTACAAATGAAAAACTATATATAAATTTCCATCTCCATTGCCCATCGCACAGTGCCCGGTACCAAATTAATTTATTAATTTAATAGTAATCAAATTATTTAACGGAAGAGCTAATCGAAAACATAGCCATCTTTTGAATCAACTATTCTTAGGAAGAGTGTTGTGAATGTTAAGCACGGGCAACCCTGCAATAGCTTCAATGAACGGGAAAGAGAAAAAAGCTAAAGGAAAAAAGTATTGGATGAAATTATTAGACTGTTTTTTTTTTGTTAAATAAAGTTAAATTTCGTATAAATTAATCCTAAAATTATATAGTGACGTATATAAAATTGATCAGCAATATTGTCGTTTCTTAAAATATAAATAATAAAAAGGTGATCGGTGACCTGCTCAGCCTTTAAAAAAAGTAAATAGCTCGACCACTCCCCATAAACCAAATTGTGACACGTTTTCCGCATTTTTTTTTAATCTTTGTTATCTCGTAAATAATTTGTTTTCCAAAAATATGAATCATTCTTTTATCTATATGTATGAACTGGTGGTCTTCTGTTTTTCTATACTTCAATGCACATTAAGTTGTGAGTATATTGTATACTGTATTTGTACCATTTTTCTCCAAAGTACAACAAATACACAAACAATATGTGGAAGGCAACCGCTGGTTTGGAAATACAAAATGCGAATTCATCGATTAACGATGCAGATGACGATTGGGAAACAGATCCAGATTTTATAAACGATGTAAGTGAACAAGAACAACGATGGGGCTCAAAAACTATAGAGGGTAGTGGGAGAACTGCGGGAGCTATAGAGTAAGTTATTGCTTGAACGTTTAAATGGTGCTATTTTTAATTCACACTGAGCTTACTTCTTTGAAGCATGCAAAAGCTGCGCTTTGAAACCGAGCAAGCTGATCATGAGAAAAAACTAAAACAATTGGAAGAATTGAATCCTGGATATGGTTATGGTGGAAAATTCGGTGTCCAGTCCGATCGTATGGATAAATCAGCTGTTGGTCATGATTATCAGGGTAAAGTTGAAAAACATGCGTCTCAAAAAGATTATAGTACTGGCTTTGGCGGCAAATTTGGTGTGCAGACAGACCGTGTTGATAAATCGGCTGCCGGGTGGGATTATCTTGAAAAAGTGGAAAAGCATGCTTCACAAAAAGATTATACAACAGGTTTTGGTGGAAAATTTGGTATACAAGCAGATCGTGTAGATAAATCAGCCTTAGGTTGGGATCATATTGAAAAAGTGGAAAAGCATGAGTCACAAAAGGGTTTGTCGTCGCTTATGCTCGATAAGATAGAAAAAGTATTTCCTGTAAATAATTGAAAAATTTTATTTTAGATTACTCTAAAGGCTTTGGTGGCAAATTTGGTGTTCAATCAGATCGTAAAGATAAGTCAGCAGTGGGCTGGGATCATAAAGAAGCACCACAAAAGCACGAAAGTCAACTGGACCATAAAATTGTAAGGCAATAAAAAAATATAGCCTCTAGCAGAAAATCGGAATAGGAAGCAAAGGATTAATAGAATGGAAATGTTAATGTGAAAATTCGTTTAAGAGAGAGAGAGAGAGAGAGAGCGAAAGTGGAAAAATGTGTCAAAGAGAAAAGCTAGGGGAAATTATGAGCTATGAAGACCAGGCAAAGTATTCAAAATATTGATGAATTTTATTTACTAATCTTTACAGGGGTTCGGTGGCAAGTTTGGCATTCAAAAAGATCGCATGGATAAATCCGCTATTGCTTATGATGAAGGTACAAAGCAAGTGGGCACTAATTACACTAAAGTGAGACCTGTTATTGAGGGTGCGAAGCCGTCGAATCTGCGAGCAAAATTCGAGAATTTAGCTAAAAGCACTGAAGAGGACACACGTAAACGAGCCGAGGAACAAAAGCGTTTACGCGAAGCTAAAGATAAACGTGATCGGGACGAGGCAGCCAAGCAGGCTGTTGCCGAAAATAAGCCCCAACAACCAGCCGAAGAAAATCGTGTACCTCCAGCAAAGGGTGTACGCACTACAATAGTTACTGGTCGTCAAGGTGGTATAGGCAATGCTATAAGTGCCTTTAATCAAATGCAATCACCTAGTAAGGAGGCAACCGACACGTCGCGCAAAGAACCTATACACATTCCAAGAGAGCCTTCAAAAGTGGAGGAGACTAAAAACGATATAGAGCAAATAAAAGAAACCAAAGTGAAGGCTGCGCCACCACCGGATCTTATACCTTCAATTGAGATACAAACAGTAGCCACTCCGCCTTCGGAAGTGCAGTCACCGGAGCCGCCTGAACGTGTCGACATCATAACGGAACAAACGCAGAGAGAGGAGCCTTTGTATCAAAATCAAGAGGAAATTCAACAGCAAATCGCTTCCAATAATAAAGTCGCAGACTCCACTACTATTAACGCAACAGAGGTTGAAGCTGTTGCCTATCCGAGTTCCGACAATTTAGCTGACTACATAGAGGACACAAACATACATGCTATAGCTTTGTATGATTATCAAGCAGCCGATGATGACGAAATCTCTTTCGATCCGGATGATATTATAACACACATTGAAATGGTAATTTAAAAGATTGTTTAGTTTATATATACATATTCCTTATATATATATATTTATGTATGTTGTGTATTAATTAGATTGATGAAGGCTGGTGGCGCGGTTTGTGCAAAAATCGTTACGGTCTATTTCCTGCCAATTACGTGCAAGTTGTTAATCAAATTCAATCTTAAACTGATGTTTGAAATTCCAGTAATGGTTTAAGAGATTTTTGTTTATATCTTAATCTTTTATACATCGATTATTATTATAATTATTTTTTTAATAATTATTAAGTATTTTGCCACTATAATGATATTCTATTTTCTTTATTTCAATTTTGTTTTTATTTATCTATTTATTTATATATCTATTTTTCAATTTATACGCGATATTTAGTTAAATTATATTTAACTAATTTTTTTATTTTATTTTATTTTTATATATATATATATACAATATTTATACAAGAATATTTTATATAACTGTTAAATTCTATTAATACTGGTATTAAAAAAAAAAAAATGTAACAGTGGTTCCACAAATTGTAAACGGAAGTCAATAAACATTATGGAGTCTGCCAATTAAATTAATATATGAAAGATATACAAATGGTGTTATTGGGCTGGAAGATATTTCTATACAAGCTTCACTTTGTTTCCCTTTGGTCACATTCTATTTTATTGAAGAATGTTAATTAGAATGAAAGTATCCTACATTATCACTGTCCAATCGGGTTTATTAGATTCCTTAAATGCTTTGCTATGAATAGAGCTATGCATTGGAGGCTTCACAAGGTATATGCTTATAAAGCCTACACATGTTGGCATAGATTTACCAATGTCCTACTGTATATGTCCGTCTGGTAAATTCCCCAGTAGAATTTTGAAACCTTTTTTTTGAAATTTTTTCCAGTCCTCACAAGTGAATTAAATTCACATAGCTGACTACATGGAAGGCACAGCTAAACATATATTTTATATATACGAAATAAATCATAACGCAATGAAGAAGCTGAGTTCAGCAGTACGGCAAAATTTCTCCAATAGATCATATAGATATACATGATTGTCCGACGATTAGCCGACGATGATGAAATTTGTACTTATGTACAACTTTGGTCAAACTAAAATCTCGACTGAATACCCGCACCCCTGCATGTAGCGACAATGCTGTACTTATCGACTGCGCTGCACTTATCGAATATGCTGCGCTTAGTTGCAGCGCTGCACTTCAAGTAAGGATTTGATATAATTTTTAGTAAAGCAAAAATCTCTTAATCAGTTTATGCAGTTTTATGCTGATATTGAAAAGGGACCAATTAGTTAGTATTACGTTCATTATTACGAATATAATACGAAATTTAATTCCTTATCTTAAATTTTATCTCTATGGCTTTCGCATAGTAACCATATTGTAGTTAATGTTATGTTTACAACAAACCTTGTGTTGAATTGAGTTCGGAGCCAACAGATAAACAGATAAAGTGAAGGCATTTATTTTTTGAAACAGAAAGAAGGAAGAAAGTTATGCTCATTTTAGATGATGCCAATCCTCCTAAGCGGCCGAAGGCAAAGTAACTCAACTAGCAACACAATTGCAACTTGGGCGCGTGATGAATTCGTATTAACTAATACTTTAGGTTTTAATTAACGCGTTTTTTTTTTTTTAATGTTAATTTCAAATATTACATAGACATTGAAGTTCGTTGTCCAAATGTGTAAGAAGGAGCTTTCTTTCCAGGTTGATAATTCATGCAATTGTAATGGATCGAAGCTGGCACCCATGATTTATTCCAACGCGGGCCAAATCGCGATGATATGCTGAATTGAGGGCTGCTCCGTCTAATAAAAAAAACTATGTTCGCATTTGTTCTTTGTATAAGATTACGTTGGTTACACTTATTTCAACCCAGATTATATGCGGACAACTTTCAGATTTTTAGTGCGCTTTAAATCTTTGTTTAAATCCCAAGTCCGGTAGAGTTTTCAATAAAACCGAAAGCTTTAAATGCTAGAGCCTTAGGACTTTAGCCTTAGAATTCATTTCTCTGCCTAAATTAATAATAATAATAATAATAATAATAATAACAGATAATAGATAATACCCACGTTTGAGTTCAATACCCGATATTAATATTTCGGTGATATACGAAATTTCGTTGAATAGATTTTGATCCTCAAAATGTTGCTTGCCGTCTTCGACAAATCTTTATTTATAATCGAGCTTAATGGGCTTTGATAAATATTCCATGACTAAAAAGGTCACCCATCGTTCCTCACCTAGCATAGATCAATGATCCTTTTTAAAATGTTTATGGAAGCAAGACGCCATACGCACTCAAAAGCCGGTAATATCAGGTGATTATTTCAAAAGTGGTTATGGAAGTGGTTATATATGCCTTTGGACTCAAGACAGATGGTCATTGATGATGATGATGAAAGCTAATTCAATAATGCTAGGCAGCAAAGATTAGTTTTGAAAATCGGAAAGACTGGGTTGCACATGGAGACCTTTGTAGTCTGACAAAATCAGAGAGAAATCGTTCATTACGAGATGCTGCCATCTACTTAGGGAACAGAACGTGGGTTGAATCTCATCAGGATGAAGGAAGATCACCATACGTGTATCTGACGATCCAACAAAAGTAATTATGGAGATATTTTGCTGTACTCAGCTGAGCTCAGCGTCTTTATTGCGCTACGATTCATTTTGTATGTTGCAGACCTCTTTGGATAACAAAAAGTCCTAACCTCTTTGCGTGGAGAACTCGGAAATTGCAAAGAAACAGTCCAAGACTTATTTACTTGATTAAAATTTGCATTTTTTTCACATTTGATTACCCCTAACTAAGTGGATGCATTACATCTTTATTTTATGAATGATATAGCTTTCCGGCTGTCACAAAGGGAGTAAAAGATTTGATTTATTTTTTCTTTGAAGTTTTGAACTTTTTTCTTTGTTTTTTTTTTGTGGTTATGCTATTTGAGCTGATTGATACGATCCGATATAGTTATAAACAATTTTGCGCATATTCGAGTGTTTCTAAGCCATTGGCGCTATCCCTTAGTTACTTAATCAGTTAAATTATCTTTTTTTTTTTTTATATTTTAATTTGATACTAATACAATGTAAGAGAGTTTTCTTATCAATACAAAGTATGCATAGATCCACAGGTGTGCAAGTACAATATGAAAGTAAGACTACCGTTCATTTAATAGGTGTACAAATAAATTCATTCTGTTCTTTTTTTTTTATAAAATCAAATTCTTTCCAAATTTAATTTTTAATCGGAATATGAACATCATTATCTATCGTCTTTTGCCATTTATGGGGTAGCTAATGGATGCCCTCGTTTGGAGGGGAAGTAGCCATCGATCCGTTTTCGAATATTTTCATTTTCTTTGAAACGTTGATCTGCCAAAGTTAATGACAATCATGATATGCATCGGTCTGAACAAGGTACCAAGTCTGGAGAATGTACGGAGTGCATTAAAACTTGCCAGCCTAAGTTGGAAATTGTTTGCTTGGCTGCCTTAGCGATATAGGAGGAAAGTTTCGGGAACTACTTTCTAATTGTAGTTAAGTGCATTCTCACTCCTAGCCAACTTAATCATTCCCGTAGTTTCAGCTCCATTTTGGTGAGGGAAATATTCATTATATCAAAATGTTTACAACGCCTAGAAGGAAGCTTCAGAGACCCCACAATGTATATATAGTTTTGATCAAGTTCTGACGCGATTTAAATATGTCCGTCTCTCCGTCTGTACGTAGCGAACATCCTCTTTGCTGCAAAACAAAAAGTTATCTGCTTCAAACGTGATAGAAAGGTTGGTCGTCCTTGTGCGTCAGTTGTTACTGAATATGGACCAACAGCCTGCCTACAGCATCAGGTGGATTGAGAGCACCTCTGTTTTCCATAAGAAATAAAAAATTATTTATTTGCTCATTACTCATAAATTACAGCAAATAATTTTACAAAAATTTGAATTTGTATGCTATGGGCTATACTGGGCATGTGTATAAAAATGCGCAAAAAGTGACCAAGCTTACCCAACATGGCAGTGTGGAAAAAATGTCAATTTTATAACGCGCAGAAGCAAACTTCAAAGACTCCATAAAGTATATAAATTCTTGGTCAGTTTGCAAATTCAGAATGCACCTAAGCATGTCCATCTATTCACCCAACTGTGTAGTACCTGTGCTAAATAACGCTTTTGCTTTCCTTGTTTGTTTGCTTGTACAGTATGCTACGTAGACCAGACATATCTCCGTTTTTATATTGAAAATAGAAAAACTCAGCCACGCCCATCGAATATATTATAGAGTATGAAAATTTTACTGTTTTCCTCTTGCTTTTTAGTATTTTTTTTGCATAGCAGTGACAGGTAAAAAAGATTCGGTCACGAGTGAATATAATTTTCGTTCTTCTTTTCACTTTAATCCAGGACATATTTAAAGAGATCAAGGCATAGAAAAATTGATTATCGCTTTATTCATTTTTTTTTTTTGTTTTTTTAACTTTGCTGTACGCTTCTTAGGAAAACCCACGAGTGCTGAGAGTAAAATCCACTTTCGCTTTAAATACTTATGAGCGTTGACCTTGTTAAGCAGACAGCAAGCAGGCGAATGAATGCAGAAGGAGCTGCAAACTGTAATATTTTTTAGGATATCCTTAGAAGGAACGTGAAAAAAGGCTCTTATTATGATATGGTGGGATATGCTCGGAATTGCAACTAAAGTTTGTATCGTTCAAATATCAAAATTGTATGTCACAGATATGTTTTATGAAATAAATCAATTTCAGCGAAACGAATTTATTCGTACACCTAATATTTTATAACGTTTTGAAAATATGATTAAAAAAAATCTAA